AAATATTTTTTATATAAAAATCTTGCATCTATTTATCTCGTAGCTACTCGTTATTAAAAACTAGATGTGCGATTCCGTCCGCACGGGTTTAAAAAAAACGCAATTAACAGCCTATGTGTTCCAGACTATGTTGTCCATCTGTGTAAAATTTTAGCCATATCCATGAAGCTGTTCTGGAGATACCTTCAAACAAACATCTGTCCATCAGATATGTTATGTTACACATATAGATAAGAACAATGATAGATTAAGAGCCGATTATTCATTGCAGTGACTGTATCTAAAAATAGTAGGAGATCTGTCTTTTGTTTATCTCAAACATATTATACATGCGAATGTTTGGATGGATGGATGATTCTTTAAAGGTCTATATCTCCAGCACGGCTGTATAGATCTCGCTGAAATTTGGCTTCGATGTAGAACATAGGCCTACAAGAACACATAGGCTACTAATTATGTTTTTTTAAATCCGCGCGGTCGGAGTCTCGGCGACAGCTAGCGTATCGTATTTTAACAAATAAGTACATTCCCTAAGAAAAGTGGAAAAGCGATTTATCTTTACCCAATAAAGTATGCAAGATTTTATTCATAAAGTATGTTGCACTTGTGTATTTAGCTGTATCGTTATTTGTTGCGAGAAACACAGTTGTCGGTGGATTTATTACAATAATGTATTGTTATCAAAAACATCTGCACATAATGATTGCAGTGACGGAGCTAGTGCGGTTCACACGTGTCCCGCAACATTGTTGTTGCTGACTGTACCTATGAAAATTATAAACAAATTGTTGATTGAAATTACTTCATAGATTGTCATTTTTTTATATTATAAGATGTCAAACGAGTAAGTGGTTACCTGAATTCGCCGACATAGCGAACAATTGCAGATCTCTTACCTAACTTTCATCGACAAAGGAGGGGACGAACAGAAAGAGAATACTTCCCCTTATTGTGCGTCCCCTCCTTCACAGAATCCACTGGTCCTTGCCATCTTTTCCATATAAAAAAGGTTGGGGAGAGAAGGAGTACCGATATTATTCCTCCGGCTCGAAAACTCATTAAACCCAAACTCAGACTTAGTTCTACTTGACGGCTGTCTTCAATGTGGTCGTGAAGAGCATTGAATAGATTATATTATATATAAAATTCTCGTGTCACAATTTTCGTTCCCATACTCCTCCGAAACGGCTTGACCGATTCTCATAAAATTTTGTGAGCATATTGAGTAGGTATGAGAATCGGCCAACATCTATTTTTAATCCCGCACGGACGGAGTCGCGGGCGACAGCTAGTAGTTATATAATAATATCTGTCTAGTTATCATTAATTTACTCTACTATCCCCATTTTCAGTCAATCCTTGGCATAATTTATACATGCGATTCTTTATATTTCTAGTCTATAGCATAACCAAATATGTCCATCATCAGCCTAAATTCCTGTCCTACGACTGTGTCCATTGTCACATAACATCGACGCTTATGGCGTTCATACGTAACGTTAAACAATGCAATGCTATATGAGCCAGCTATTGTCAATGTTTCTCGAAAATATAACACAAGCACGGTAAATGTGACCTTATAGTCAACTTGATTGACTAAACTCCTCTTGAACTGTTTGCATTACCGAAAGTAAAACATATAATGTCAAATACATACTCTATAGAAACGTATTGGCATCTCTTTCTTTCTCTTTGAATAAACAGGGATAACAATATGTTGGTTGACAGTCGTGCTGTGTTATTAATTTTAACATATTAAAATTGTGTGACTACTGCCACCTATCGTGAAACGTAAGTACTAAGAAAAACAAAACTAAAAGTGCGAGTTTCATGCGTTGGCGCGTTTTCAATTTTCCACGTTCTTGATGTCCACGCTAGATGGCGTTAGTAGTATGTAGCGTATTCGAAGATATTTTTGTATAACATTTTGGCGAAAGTTTATTTTTAAATCTGTATAAGTGGCCTAGGAAGTTTATGTACCGAGTGCGTGCAGAATGTTACCTCGCACTCTCCAGACTTTTCCATCGAGTAATTGTTACACAATTATTTCAAGGGAACGATTTACTATGTTTTTTTTTGTTACAACTGAACCTTCTTTAACATAGAGCTTACGAATAGTCACCAATTTTTTCCACAAGGCCATGTAAGTTTCTGGAAATCTTTTGACCTGGACTTGATTTTTACGGCATGTAACAGGTAGTTGATGTACGCGGGAATATTATAAGCTACTGTTAATTCTTCAAAGTCTTGAGCGATCGTTCTTTTAAAGTGAAATTCTAACACGTTTTTGCGGTGACCGGAGAAGAGGGCAGATTGAAATCCAAGTAAACTAGACTAAATCTAGACCGTTTTATAGAGCTCTAATTTACATTTAATTATTAATTGTATAATGCGAAAGGAATTTTGTTTAGAATAATAAATTACCGTTCAATTTCACTGCCTTTTAACTTGTAATAAAACAATAAAGCAAATTCTTGTCTCTTCTTCATAGAGAATGAAAGTTCATACAAATTTACACAAGTTTTTGGGCAATGGAAACTCACAGTATCTTAACAATCGACGGTATTAATTTGCAAAACTCATAAATTTAGTAATGTATTTTAAGAGATCGTAGAGCGACTGAGTCACTGGCTACGGCTAGTTTTTTCACTGGCTGTCTGGAACCGCGAATGATGTGTCGCATACGAACACAGTACATGCCACCGACAATATGATAACTTCGTCAGTTTGTGATAATAATAAAAAAAATTAATAATAAATAATTACGTAAGAATATCATCTATTTCTTTTTGTACGGGATTCAGGACTAGAGTACAGTTGTATGGGTTCCTTATATTCTCTAAGTTACAATATTAATATGATGATCGGGCATCTGATAGTTGGGGTGATGTTTTTGATGTTCAGAGGCGTTCATTTTGCTAGTCGCCATGTCTGCATATTTTGAACTACAATTAAATGTTATATAATTTCTTAGCAGTTTATAAAGTATCGAATACAATTTTTTATGTTCTGAACTATTATTTTTAAGTTAGGTTCATTAGATTTGTAAAGTGTATGAAGAGCTGTTTATTTAAAAAGTTTATTGCGTTTTCTTGTTAATTCCTTGACAGTTTTTAATATTCCCAGTCCGATTGTATAGTGTCGAAATTAGCAATTAGACGATGACATGTACTCGGATTCAGAATATAAAATGTTACTCCACGTTACTATAAGCTCAACATCGATCTTAATTAACTCGACTAACGTTTATGATTCCTTTGATCCTAAGCCAAAATAATTCGATTTTGTTGCTAGTTTTCAAAATTAATATTATTTTTGAAGTTGGAAAATACGCGAACGACTTATCGATGCTTGAAGGAACGAGATCTTTTTAATCTAGTAATTAAATAAAGTGCAATAAAAAATATAACACCCTGTAAAAATAATAGACACTGCATCCTTCAAAATACAGAGCGTCGGTCGCAGGGGTTAAGCACTTGATTTGTGATCTGCAGATCCTGGGTTCGAATCCCGCCATGAAATGTGTTTTTCGATTTACATATGTACATTTATCCAACGTTCGGTGAAGGAAAAAATCATGACGCAACCCTCACGATTGTGTAAAGAATTTCAAAATTTGAAGTCAACCCGCATTCGGTCAGCGTGGATGACTAAGGCTAGGCCTAACTAAGGTTACACTCGAGTCTCGATAGAGGGGATGTGTGCTGACGATACTCGCATTAAACTCTCGTTTATATGTTTTTCTGTCTGTACTAAGTCAAGTCCAAAGCACTATCAGTTGCCAACGACCTTGTTCACACGCGCTTACTTCAGTCATCACTTGTAATTGTTTTATTTCGTAGTTCCTCACGTCTTCTAGTTTGTTGGATAAAAAAAAAATTACTTTTATCAATTACTGGCTGTCGCCCGTAACTCCGTCCGCGCGGAATTAAAAAAAAATAATTAGTAGCCTATGTGTTCTTCCAGACTATGTTCTATATGTATGCCAAATTTCATCGAAATCCGTTCTGCGGTTCTGAAGATACCTTTAAACAAACATCCATCCATCTATCCATCCACCCATCCGTCCATCCATCCAATCATTCGCATTGATAATATTAGTAATATTTCATTGCCTTGTTTTAGTGTGAAAATGTATTTTTTGTATTCACGTCTTGTCGTGCTGTTGGGTTTAGTGGTACTATAAATTAAGAACTTAAGTTATTACCAAAACTAAAAGTTTCGGTATCTTTTTCTAAAACATAAACATATGATTAATATCTAGAAAAAGAATAAGGACATAAAGGACAAGTCAATATTTGTCGTAATGATACAGTTTTTTTATACAACTTTCACGTCTGATCGTCTGTTAAATTTTCTCTAAACGTAAAATTGTCCGTCATATTAGGATCGGAAACTTTGTTCCGCATCCTTACTGCATTTTCTCACACGTATTAATAGAAATTACAAAGACAATCAAAAATTAATTAGAGATGGTAGGACATTTGGGCGCACAGGTAGAGGCATGGGCAGTAGAGGGCGCGGCGAGCGGCATGCAACGAGCGGCCGACATGTGCGTGGGCGCGCTAGGGATGAGAACAACCGTTATTCTTTGCGCTATGCTATATAGCACTGCTATTTTTGAGGCGAATATTTTTATAAACGTTCCACGCTGCAGAGTTCGTTTTTATAATATTCTACAAGCGTTATCGTAATTAAACATTTACAAACGAGGCGAAAGAACTATTATATTTTTATAAACAAATTTGACTCGTTTATTACTTTAGAATTGGGTATAAACTTTTTTATAATTTTGCGAAAACTTTATAGTTTTTCGCATAATTAGTTAATTATTAATAGCGCGCACGCGAACGGGCGGCGTGGTGCGGGCGGCTCGCAGGCGGCACCACGTCGCGCGGCCGCGGCGGGGCGCAGTCCGCGGCGCGCCGGGCCGCCGCTCGCGCCGCTGCGCACCCTATATTCAGTTCACGGCCGCTCTATTACCGGGCGGCTATTTCGGCGGGCGTGCGGCAGGTGCGCGCGCGACGGCATGCGCGGCTGACGGCCATGGAGCGCCGCCGCCGGCCCAGCGAGCCCATGGCCAAGGCGGTTCGCCGCCGTGACAAGCCGCGTGAGCGCTGGCTGCTCACGCGTAAGACATGGAAGTATATGTCGGACGCGGGCCGCCGGCTCGTCCCCGACGGCGCACAGAATCGGCTCGAGGACTTACCGCGCATCGAGGCCTGTTTCCAGGAGGTGTGCGCGCGCGAGCCGCGCTTCCTGCTCTGGCGCAAGAGCTCCTACCCGAGCGCCTTACCGCGCCCGCGCCGCAAGAAGCGCGCTCGCGGCGGCTCCGTGCGAGCCCGCTCGCCACCCGACGATGCTCCGCCGCGGCCCACCGAGCTGCTCATCGGGCACACCTCGGGCGGTCGCTTCGACCTCGCCAAGTTGCGGCGCGACTTCTTTGCGGCGCCTCCGCCCCCGCCCGCCGCTTCGGCGTTCTCGCCCTCGGGCAAGGCGGTGACGGACGATGACGAGAGCGTTTTAGTCGATTTATTGAGAAAGTACCTGAAAGTAGAGGACGAAAAGGCGGCACCGAAGCTATCGGAGGCTGAGGAGTTAGTGTTAGCAATTAGAAAGTATCTGACGCGGCAGGCGGCGCGCGGGCCGGCCGATGCCGACGCGGACCCAACGCGCCGGTCGCTGCTGGACACGCTCGGCAAGTATTACACGCGGACGCCGACCGGGGACAATGCAGTGCAGGACTTGTTGACCGATAAAAATTTGTTAAAGAGACTTTACCAGGATTTGCGTAAAACTAAGCCATACCGTGGCGGCCGGAGCGGAGGCATCGGCGGGGCGGGTGGTTTCGGCCCAAGCGGGTTCGGACCCGGCAGTTTTACCGGTTTAGCGAGTGCGCGCAGTACGCTTCGTAGTCGGATCGCCGGTGGGGCGCGCATTTACGATGGCGAGGATGGGCTCCGCTCGCCGCCTATGTCGCCACCTCCCCTCATCGAAGTCATATCAGAATCGTTGGAGGACAAGTATTGCGACCGGGCAACGCAGACGCCCCCCATCCCGGAGGAGGTGTTGTGCGAGCTGGAGGCTGCGTACCGAGAGCGGCTGGAGGCGGCCACGGCACCCACGAGCCCCACGAGCCCGCCACCTGAGCGAAAGCCAGCACGCCGCCGCTCCAGCGTCGACCACGACGACGTCTCACAGTCCGTCAGCGACACTATCAAACGGTACCTAAGGATGGCGCGCAAAAAGAGTGTCGACTCGGAGAAGGTCGACCGCTTTAAGAGAATAAACTACGACAAGAACCTGCGCAACATCAAGCCGCGGGTGCCGGGCGAGGTGGATGACGACGGTCCGCACAAGGGTTGCCAGACGGAGGAGCGTTGGGTGCTGACTTACCGGGAGCTGCAGTTCGATTCGGCGGCGTCGACGCCGACGTCCCCTCCGTCCCCAACGCAGTCGCCCTCGTTGCTGTCGAGCCTGCTGGGACGCGGTGTGACGAGCAATGTGCCCGCAGGCGGCATGCAGAAGTCCCGGTCCTCGGGCAGCGTGGTGCAGAGCGTCAGCAAGCGGCTGTGGCGGCCGCGCTCGCGCTCTTCCAGCCGTGCCGCCGCCGCCTGGGCACCTCAGGTCAGTCGCCTATCATCACAAACACTCACATCTATCTTGTGTGCTCTAACATCGTGTGCAGCTTCAGTGTGTGTCACCTGGAATTAACTTTTATTACGATAAAACAATAGTTTAAACATTAAAAGCACACACTCTATAAGTTAGTGTATTAATATTTACTCGATACACTTTTATAAATTGACTTATGATTCAATAATTTAAAATACTTAAGTATAAGTTAATTGTAGCTAATAAAATTGTATAAAAACTTACAGAAACATTGCGAAATCCATGAATTCATTATTGATTAAATGAATGATGAAATAATTTCGCGCACAACTCAATCAAAAATCACAGACGAAACAAAACACAAACATTGATAATCACATTCAGTCACAATGTAGACTAAACAGTATACTAAAAGTTAAAAAAAAAACTAAAAATCACTGTTTCTACGATTGTTTGATGATCAAACAGAAATTGCCACCTGCATATTGACTACGAATTCCGATTCAATCGCATCAATCAAATGTACTGACGTTTTCAAACAACATGCAAACTTAAGAAAACATACAAGAACAATTTTTAGATCGCTCATTTTTAATGAAACGATGTAAAAGAAATGCAAGGACTCATAAATGTGCATAAATGCTGACGTAGAATTTTAATTTCTTAACGCAGACATGAAAATCTTATTTCTATAACAAACCAAAGTATTTATAAGTATAAGCGATTTGTTTATAACCATCATTTTTCTGTCCTTATAACGATATCGTAGAGTCGGTGCATCAGTGTTTCCTCTACCAAATAAATCTATCCTCCGTCATTTCATTTGCCCCTTCTTAATCATGTCAAAATTCACCTAATCCATCTATCTATCCTTCCTCTATAGATGTACACCTTTACATTTATATTTAAAGTACTATTTGTTGTTTATCCTAACTTAATAAAAAACACTTGTCAGAATCGGGATTCTAAGAAGAAAAAACAAGCAATCATTTAGGCACTTTGCCATATACTTATTATAAATGTCAATAAATTTACACGAAAACATTGTTTGACATTCATAAGTATTGCGAAAACTAGTAACATTGTTGTAGTAAGTTTACAAAATAACGAGTAGGTTTATTTCCGTCGATCAACCTCTAGAGAAAATGGCGCGACAATTATTTGCCAAATGTCTTTGACATGGTTTTCATTTTTTGCGCGCAATTTATAAAAACATTCGACTGTTTACTCTTTACAAAATACTTTTTTTGTTTACTCTATCTATATAATAACACTTATTTTTCGATACTTATACTTATTTTGCTCCGCGGTTTTACGCATAAGAATCGTATAATTAGTTCTTCACTAATCTACCACCTTCCCTAAGAATAATTATAATATTTACATCTGTTCTCCGAGACTGTGTATGCACATGTGTAACAAAAAAGTAAAAGCTTCTCTTGTTCTGAGGTAATTTTCTGTTAGGGCTAATCTCCTACTGAGGTTAACGTAAATAAAGTTAATGTAATGCCTCGGATTCCGACAAGCCGTGTGTCAAATTCTGTTCAGATCCGTTTTGCCGTTGTGAAGTTTCGCGGAAAAAACCATTCATTTCGTAGGCAATTAAATTAAAACAGCAAGTCATTTTACTATAATCTTTCCACAAATGTATTTCAATAGCAAGGAATTGCTTGATAATATCACATCTTTGTTAACTCTACAGTTTTGTTGGCAAACGTGTCTCGAAAGTAGTTTTCGATTTATAGAAACATCGAATTTCACTCTGTTCTAAATCTATTCAACTGCCGCATACCACATTAGTTTTCCTACGAATAGAAATATATATATTTTTTGTTACGTTCAAACGTAAATCACATTTATTCTTCTTTGTTTTTTTTAAAGATCTTTGTAACCTTGAAATACTTATTATAATATATTGATTTAATTATTTACAAGCCCTTTGCAAATACTAAACAATGTAATTCATAGTGTTTACTACTTCTGTAGAAACAGATTGGTATTTCTGTTTTTTTTAAGAGAATGACAGACGATATAAGGATACCTACGTTGAAACAGATAGGCAATAATTCACACATCAAACATTAATCTGTTATTTACTATTAAGGCGTAGCACCGTCGTAGCACCATCGTAGCGCATATAGATGAGTAGAGCAATTAGCAGTCAATGAGTTTCCATTGTCCACACACTCAATGCAAACCCATAACGGTTATCGTACTTTGACAAACACGTCGACAATGTTTTGAATAAAATAAAAATATAATTTTAAAACTATTGCGTGACATATATGACCTTGAAACATGTTTTCTTTACACTCTTTAGATATGCTCTGATTTTATTATTTACGTCAACGATAATAACAAAACATAAACAATAAGGAAAACAGCAAAGATATGTTTTCTTCAGCATAGCAACCGATGTGTATATGATAAAACTTTTTACACACATCTGTTGAACATAACGCTCGCATTTTGTTCCCAGAAGTAACGAAGCGCGTGGGCCGGTCTCAGACAAAACACACACTATATTATGATCTTGCTGTGAATCATACCAACAGTCACTATGCATATGCGCGTATATCTAAACTATAACTAAACTATCCGATAAAGATTACAAGGTGGCAAACGAGCATGCGGTCACATGAATTCGCCAAAATAGCGAAGCAACAGTTGCCATTACACATCTGCTATTGCCTCCTACTCCGCCGAATCCCCCCCACATCTCCTTATATTTTTTTAGTACAGTTTACTATGCCAATTTTCTTCGCGTTTCGATTTACTAAGTCTACAGCTACTAAGTGCGACGTCCGAGCTTTGGTCTACGACCTCGGCGTCCCTCGGAATTACTCACCAAAACACACTTATGTACACTGACTTTATCCATTCGCTCCAGGTGGCCCATTCTGAGCCGGTTTAATTTTATGTGTAGTACAAAAAATACATTTAAAAATACCTTTGCAGTACAGACAAGAATAAGAATCATATTATAACAAAAAAAATAGGAGCACTTAAACCTTTTAGGCTACTGGTACTCCAAGATAAAATAAAATTACTTTGGCTAAAACCAATCCATTATGTGACATGTGACAGTGAATCTTGATTGTTAAAATTTTAAAGTTTGTATTATGTTTGTACGTGGTTTTTTCTAACTAATATCCTTGAGATCTTTCGTATGTTTTAAATGAACTTTTCGTATGGTTTACCAAATAAAAAGCTCTTTTATTAGCTTGTAACATAACTAATGTTTTTACTTTTTATATCTTATATATTATTTATTAATAACTAAGAGGATTTTAGGTTAGGTAATTTAATTTAGTTATTTTAAGAAAAAAACAATACGCAAACTTTTGTTTTAAATAAAACGTATATATCTAAAGTACGCGTGTCTCACAGTTTCAGGTAATCGAGTTCATGTCCTTGATCAGTTCTCCAACAGAGAGTGCGAACGATTTGTAAGTTTTAAATTGAAACATTGAAAAACTATACAACGAAAATACGACCAAACAAAACACGCACAATATACATCTACATTTGTAACTTTATTTTGAAATTAGAATGGATATAAATAATAAATTTAATAGATTAATATTCCGGTCAAGTCTATTCCAAATAAGAATCAAGTACTAGCATAATCTTCAAAATATAATTAGTAATGGTTACTAAAATAACTTAAAAAAAAGTAAAAACAAAAAATTTTTCATACAAAAAATCACTATTTGGCACTTTTTTTGCGACTGAGTAGTCACTGTTTGCCTTGAAGAGGCATTTACAGCTTTAACGGGCTTGAGGTGGCCGAGCGCAGATGGCGCTTAGCCTGAACCTCGTTTAAGAGTAACAAGATTTGAGGGCTCCCTCAGGAGGCTCGGCTCTGGCTGTTACTTCGTTATTGTTACAGGATTGGAATTTTGGACTCATTTAGTAAAAAGTACTAAAATAATTCGGCTACGATATAAAAGAAAATAAACATAAATAATCTTAAACTCTCTTCCTCCGAAATATCACAATCCTCTTTGTAACCTATGCAGAATAGTACTAGAATTTAGCTCTTTTTTATATCATAAGGTGGCAAACGAGCGAGCGGTCACCTGAAATCGCTGAAATAGCGAAGTGACCGTTGCCCATAGACATACGCAATGGCAAATGCGTTGCCTACCTTTAATTGACGGAGGAAAGGATGCACAGAAAGAAAACATTTTCCCTTTCCATGCATTCTCTCATCCGGAAAGTCCATTTCCACTTCCCATCCTTTCCTTATAAGAAAAAGGGTAGGAAAGGAAAGAGTACTAATTTACGCCTACGGGACACAACTTTGGTACTCTTAGTATCAAAGTTACTTTTGCTTCCCCAAATAACACGCAGTAATAACTTTCATCGCATGATAGCATCTTTCTCAATATACGAATCACTTCCGACAAGATTTGAACCCGAATGTATGCCAGTGCGGTCGATATTGGCCGCGATCCAAACATCTCTTGGGCTCAACTACTTAACAATAGACGGCCAAATGTTATAATAATTAAAATCTTACGTTTTATAGAGCGAGTAATTAAGAGTTCAAAATTAAACTACCGCATATAAACTGGTTTACATAAATAAAACTATATAAATAATACGCTAATTATGACGACTACGAAGCGCCATACTTAAATTTATACATATTTATTTATGTTATTATTATTTTAGCTTTAAAAAAAATGACAAAAAAAATGATTTATTGCTTAAACAAAAATGGTACATAGTAATATTTGTGCCGGGACTTCTATTTAAGCATCCATTACGGCTTGTGATTGGAAGTCCCGCTATTCCGTGTCACATAAACAGTATCTACTTGTTGCCGACAGATACGGAACCTTTTTAGAACTTTTTTTTACTTAAATTTTAAAAGTACAAAAGGTAAATAATGTACAGTCTCACGCAACTGATCGAGTAAACTGATTGTAGAGCAAACAGTTTGTTGTACGACTTTGATACTAACTTAACAATTATATTTATGTAAATTAATCGACATCACAGGGGACCGAAGAGCTGGCAGCTACCTCGGTCAAAGAATTAGTTTAGCTGTACAGAGGGGGAACGCTGCCAGTATCTTCGGGACCTTGCCTAAAGGGACTCCTTTTAATAACATATTTTAATGAATTATTCGTTTTTTTTTAATATTTTATTTTATATCATAGATTTAAGACTAGATTTAATTATAGAAATAAGGATGTATAAATTCATTTGAAGTTACAAAGATAGAGACACATAAAGTACAAAATATTTCGACTTCTTTTTATCCGCATTTAGACTCGTTGAGTAGTTTTAATAGAGTTCCTTAGATACACTAACCATTTTTGTTGTTGTTTTTAATGTTTTAAACGGCTATTTAAGCCTCAGAAACCCACAGTAATAGAGGGTAAATAACCATTAATAATTTGCAAGTGCGTCAGCTTTTGTATTGTCGGTGTGATGACGTGACGCGTTGTGCAGGGCAGCTGTTGCTGGACAGACGGCAGCGGGCGATGCGTGCGGCTTGCGGACACGTCGCTACTCGCGCTCAGCGAGGTGGAGCGGCGCGCGCTACAGCAGGCAGCGCTCGCCCGCCTGCAGCAGATCAACCTTGGCACCACTATCAAGATACCTGAAGGTAACTATAAGTTAAAATCTTCATGTCAAGTGACTGTCTTTATGAACAGAATCAAGGGATTGTTGGCACTGTCCCTTTATACTATCTTTTTAAAGACACTTGACAACGTACCTGACAATTCAGTTCAATTTACACGGACATTTGTCCTTTGACAATGCTTCTTAACATTTTTCCTTAATACTGTCACTTTCAATTACCCTTTGATATTTTACTCTCGATAGCGTACTTAATACTAACCCCCGAAAGTATTATTGATCCTTAAAAATGTTCCTTAATATTTGCAAAGTCAAAAAATCATCAAAAACATGTTTCAGTAATGCATACAAGTTTTCTTATGTTTTACGTTCAATATGAAAGATAATTTAACGTATGTATTACGTACTAATTTAACAGCTCAATATTCGAAATACGTTAATGCGAAGTACATCACAATCATTCAAGAAGTTGAGATATCTTAAGTATAACTCAGTCGAAGTGAACTAAAGCAATTACACCGTTTGCTAATAAAACATAAATTTCGGACGATGACTGTGAAATTGTTAGTGGCGCAAATAGCTTTTAAATTTATGTAACGAGCCTCTTTATCGTTTAAGATGTTACAACGACCAGATATTATAGTTCAAGGAAACTTTAGAACGCAAAGCTTATTATAGATACGTGTATTTACATATAACTGTTTCAAACTTATCAATAATATAAATAAACAAAAGATATAGTTTATAAAATTATTTATTTATTATATTAACAAAAATACTACTATTAAAGAATAAATTACCTTTTTTAATTAAGTTTTGTAATTTAAAAGCTTACTAATATAAATGCGAATGTTCAATGGACGTTCGTTATACGGTATCTCCAGAATATCTTAATGGATCTCGCTGAAATTCGGTATAGATGTAGAACATAGTCTGGAAGAACACATATGCTACTAATAACGTTATTTCTAATTCCGCGCGCACGGAGTCGCGGGCGACAACTAGTTATAAATATAGTAAACGATTTTGAAATTGAATATTTGCGTGTTTATTTGTTAATAATATTCATGTATTATAAACATTTTTTTTAATATTATAAGGTGGCAAACGAGCGAGCGGCCACCTGAAATCGCTGACATAGCGAAGTGACCGTTGCCCATAGACATACGCAATTGCATATGCGTTGCCTACTTTTAATCGACAGAGGAGAGGATGCACAGAAAGATAACATTTCTATGCATCCTCTCATCCGAAAGGTCCACTTCCACTTCCCATCCTATCCTTATGAGAAAAAGAGTGGGAAGGGAACGAGGACTCCGGGACGCAAACATATTAATGGGCTCAGTATATATTTGAATGCTTTTATACTGATGACATACAAGTAATGGAGTCGAGTTATTTCAGTTCCAGAAACTGTAATATTCTCGTTATTGTCGTCAGAAATAACTACGACGGCAATACGCTTGTCTTGAGAAGTTATTTTAGTTTTAACCTCATTATCCAGTACTCGAATAGTTTTGCCAGTAGACGTTAGGGTAGGTTGTCTAGTTCCACGGATTTTGGTTAAGCTGTCGCCCGAATCTATATTAATATTAAAAAAACTTAGTAGTCTAGGTTTTTTATTCAGCTGTTCTGGAGTTTGTGGTCAGCTAATATTTATCGAATATTTTACATAATATTAATAAGATTAGCTCGTTGTCGTCGAAACTTACGAAACTTGGTTTGATGCCAGTTTCATCGACATAACTCTATTAAATCGAAATTTACAATTTTCTAATATTTTTACGCTCAAACAATTCCAGTTTTAGAAGGTCGTTATCAAATCTGTCACCATGATAGTTCACATCAAACAAGTTTTGTGATAAACGAGCGATGCGTTCGCGTATTGTATGAGAACGTGTTGAACTATGTTTTTTATAGTTTCGATAACAAACACAGCGATAATTTTATGAAATACGACTAAGAAGTTATTCCAATTTGTAGCACATTTTCGTATTGAGATATGAGTTTCAGTTGGAAAATAAATTTTATTTTAATTCTTCATAATAACATGAATATTCTTTACGTATTTAAGTTGAGTAATTTATAAATTTGAGACGAGATTATGACCCAATGTGTCCGAATTATTGTCACTTAGTTTAATAATTGGTTTACTTATATGTTTCTGTCTAAACTATGATTTAATTTCGATTTGAATGACCTTGAATTAATGTGAAGAATTGGAATTACAAGATCATAGCAATGGCTATATCTTGTAAAAGTTTGACGCCTTTGTGGCTGTTGACGGCAAACTTATGTTTAAAAACCTGAAGAGTAATGCTTAGTTTATAAGGATTTTAAACATGTATTTAATATAAAATTATTCTAGTATGTTTAGTTGTGTTTCATATAAATAGGTGGGAGTGCGGCGCCCACGCGGCCGCAGCGGTATGCGTCTTTCTAATTACGTTTGCTAGCAGCCGAGAGGTAAATATTTCGCTAATCTGTGGCTGGTGAAGCTCTCAATATTCCAAGATAATCTGTGGTTATTCAAAATTCATTGTGTAGTTACTGGCAACATCATCTACTTGTACTTATCCCTCTATACGAGGCAACTACAGGTTTTTGTCTTCCAAATGTGTTCGGCGTTCTTATTTTAATCGTTTTCAATAAGTACTATTCAGTGTAATAGAGTTTATGAAATGTTTCTAAGCTCGTGTTGTGCGTTGTAAAAATTATCGTTTCTCTAAAATAATAGCGTAAAAAATTCAAATGTAAATCAACAGTAGACAACAAAAGTTGTTAACACATTCCAAGAATCTATTAATGTTACGTTCATTAATTATGATCTGACATTGAAACAAACGGCTAGAAATGTTACAAAATTAATAGTTATATTTCCGTTAAATTTATTATCCTAATGTTACTGGCAGCTTAGAAATACAAAACATAAAATCAATATTCTATTGAAGATTTCACTTTAAAATAGTTAAAAAAAACACATTACAAGACGGAAAAGTTCAAAAGACACTGAGAATGTTTGCTAACACAACACACATGATAGAACGTTAAATATGTCCCACCTTACAGGTGACCTACTCGGACGGCGCCAAAAATACATTGACACATGCACGACATGTTGCCGGCTATTTTCAAAATGGCCGCCTTAAATAAATACGCGGATGGACGCGCGTTACGCAAACGTGACGCGGCGTGACGTCACGAACGACACCGCCCAACTGATAACAATCCAAATAATGAAATAAGGAAGAAAATAACATTATTAATTGATTAATTACTAAGCAATTAATAAATAAATTATTGATAAAATTAAAAACGTAATTAACTTATGTGGTTAATCCACTAAAATCAAATCATAAATCATATCTCTGTCCTTGTCCCACGCTATAGATAGTCGGCGCATCAAATTTTCGTCCACAAGAATCCAGATCATCTATTAATTTATATTTCATACAATCCAATCAATCTATTTCAAAAAAGTATGGATCAAAAAATTTGAACATAATTTGATACACACTGTAAAATTGGCAAAGTCGAAATGAAATCGTCCCTAGAATCCGCTCACATGACTCGAGCCCGGCTTTCTTTGCAGATTAGTTCTGATTGAGAAGCCAATGTGGGCGAATGATAATTAATACGTTTTATTTACGTAGGCGGTGACATGCACGACTACTTTTATCTTATAAATAAATACGAACGTATCAGATGCAAAATGCTATTTGTTTTTAAGAAAATCAAATAAACATTTGCTGACAAAAGATCCATTATTTAGTACAAGACAGGTTAGTATTTTAAATATCGTTTTGTTTCAAGTTTTATTGCAAATATTTATATAATTGTTAATAATTCATCACACAAGCCGCGACGACTGAGGGTCCTTCAAGAAGCCAGCGTATCACCTTCTCAAAGGCAACGCATCTGCGGTTACTCTGGTACTGATGTCCAAGGGCGTCAATGAACACCTCGGTGTTCCTAATGCTCGATTGCTCTTTCATATATATAAAAAAACATCTTTTCTTTTTTTTAACTGTTAAATAGTTGACAACTCTATATTTTCATTTAAAAGACTTTCATTCTATATCCTGTCTTTTACGGTAAGGTAAATCAATAACAACACCTATTTTCAAAATAGAGTTCGTTTACGAATAAGCAACACACTTCCCTTTTGGTGTTAACGACTCAGGTAGAGTCATAATCGAGGTCACAGCTCGCTTCTGTTTAAAACTCCTATGTTTAGGTAACACCCACTAGAGACACGTGCCCGATGGAATCTGTAGATCAGTGCCCAGCTTGTCTGATAACCCACGATATCACACTGTCGCGAATGCGATGCGTATTCGAAACGAAACTATGACAACATTCGTTAGAATCGGGATTCTTACCACGATTTAGCTGTCTGAGCTCCCGATATTTCGGCACGCTTGCATGCGTTATGAACACGGGTTGTCTATGATAACGGTTAATGCCATAAATTATAACACACAGAAAATTCGAAAAATACATTTAAAACTGAAAGTGTGTACCGGGCTTTAAGTTTCGTGTTGATAGAATACAAAACACCATTGGGTCACATGCAACTGACATGAGGTTATTTCTTTCCACCTAACTTCACAATCACTACGCGATTTCGGAGCGATTTATTTCGATTCCGCTCTACTTTCGTTCGTCAGTATGATAGGGGGCGTCAGTGATTTAGTTATGACATGAGGCGTTGGCAGCGACCACAACAACTGCCAATCATCACGCTACAGTTTGACGGGTTGCGGATTACTAGCGAAATCTCATCACGTGTTCATTTTGTGTCTGAACTTTTTAATTCGATGTTTATAGATAATTTTAGGCAACCTAAAAATCTATCAATCACGAATGATTACTTGCTATTTTTTATTGCAGACGATCTAAGAGTTATTATAAGATCTAATCAAAGAAACTGAACGAGTGGTGATATATTTGAAAGTCGACCACAAAGTGGGAGCGAGTATATAACGAGAAACGATGCGAGTATATATAAAACATAAAAGTACA